GGGCTGGGGCGGAGGAGCACGCTGGCATTCCAGAGAGATGCCACTGAAGCAGCAGAAGGGGCGGTGGCTCTGTGGCTGCGGACGGGCCTTCGCCGTGAGGTGCGGCCTCGGCACGGCTGCCCGCCGGGAAGCACGAACGGCTGGGCGAGGCGTCTCCGTTTCCGCCCTCCTGGCGGTCCTGGCGGTCCTGGCGGTCCTTGTGGTCTCTGCGTCTGCAAGGCCCCCCCAAGCTCCCCGAGCTGGCTGGCGGAGCGGGGGCCCCTCTCTCCCTCTCGGAGCCGAAACTCCCTTCCCAGCTCGTCAGCGCCGCTCCCCAGTGCCCGGGGCCCTGGCTTCTCTGGCAGCACGTGGGCCAGCGCCCTCAGCCCCGTGGGCACCGCCTCTCAGCTGCCACCGGAGGCCCCGGGGCAGGAGGCCGGCAGCGCGGCCGCCTCCCGCAGACAGCGGCCGCTCCCGGGGCCCTGCCCTCCGGTGGGCGGCGTGGTCCCCGGAGTCCTGCTGGGGCTGCTGTGAGCGGCTGCCCGCTGGGTTTGGCCTGGAGTGTGGGGGGGATGCCAGCCCCTCCTTCCACCTACACCCCCACCTCCGTGCTCTGGCCCGCGCCCCCTCCCAGGCCCACCTTAGCCGGAGGCGCGGAGGGGCCGCTCCCACACCAGCCAGGCCGAGAACACCAGGAAGAGCAGCACCAGGGCCGCGGCCAGGCTCACGGAGGGCACCAGGTCCGAGGCCTCGGGGCCGGGGGCCGCGTCCCGGGGGGCGGCTCCGGGCAGCGCGGCGGCAGCGGGGGCTCCCAGCAGCTGGGCCGTGCACACCTTCTCCCCCTGGGGCCCTGGCCCGCCCATCTGTGGAAGGAGGAGGTGAGGGGCAGCCCCTGCCCCTGCTGTCCTCCCATCCTCATCGGAGGGAAGCCCTCGGGCGCCACGAGAGCGGGGAAGGGGGTGTGGGGAAGGGGAAGGGGGAGCGGGGAGGGGGGCTGGACTCCCTGAGCCTTGTGTTCGCCTCTGAAAGGGGCTGCCGGGCCCGGAGCGAGGGGCAGGCCGGTCCCGGGCATCCCCGCCCACGCTCACCTCTCGCCCAGTGCCAGGGCCTGGAATGCAGCTCCGCCAGTTTCCAACAGAGGTCTCTGCAGCAGGAGCTGGGTCAAGGGTGGGCACCAGGCTTCCGGAATCTTCCGGGTGAGAACCGTGAGGCTCTGAGAACCGCTCGCTGGGCAGCGCCCTGAGCCCCGGAGAGCCCTCCCCGGGCTCCTGTGCCCGGAGGCAGTGCTCAGACCGGGCATCCTCCCACTCCATGCCCCGGACCAGCAGGGGCGCGGGGATGGGGGAACCCGGGAGCGGCTGGCCCCAGCCCAGCCCCTCCCCAGGCCCCGGGTCTGCAGGATGCTCACCCCCAGCCTGGGCTCCCCGTTCCCGAGGGGCCTGTCCCCCGAGCTGCCCCTGAGCCGCCCTGTCCCCTGGTGAGCGAAGGGCGCTTTCTTGAAGGAGAAAGGGCTGAGGCTCGGGGTGGGGAGGAGGGGCCCAGGCCCTTCGTGGGTGTGTCCAGGGCAGAGCCACGCGTCCCCACTAGCACACCAGCTCTGTGTGGGAGGCAACAGGCATGGGAGGGCCCTGGATTCAAATGGGCAAGGAGCGTCCGGCACCCCCTGCGCACCCCTGAGCACCGCAGGGGAGGGGGGAGGCGGAGCCTGATACACACCCTGGCCCCCCAGAAGCCGCGGCCATAGCTCTTCAGAGCAGACCCAGGGGAGGCGGCCAGGCCGGTGGGGCGGGTAGGCCGGTGGGATGGGCAGGCCGGTGGGATGGGCAGGCCGGTGGGATGGGCAGGCCGGTGGGATGGGCAGGCGGGTGGGGTGGGCAGGCCGGTGGGGCGGCCAGGCCGGTGGGGCGGGTAGGCCGGTGGGGCGGGCAGGCCGGTGGGGCGGGCAGGCCGGTGGGATGGGCAGGCCGGTGGGATGGGCAGGCCGGTGGGGCGGGTAGGCCGGTGGGGCGGGCAGGCCAGTGGGATGGGCAGGCCGGTGGGGCGGGCAGGCCGGTGGGATGGGCAGGCCGGTGGGATGGGCAGGCCGGTGGGGCGGGCAGGCCGGTGGGATGGGCAGGCCGGTGGGATGGGCAGGCCGGTGGGGCGGGCAGGCCGGTGGGATGGGCAGGCCGGTGGGATGGGCAGGCCGGTGGGGCGGCCAGGCCGGTGGGGCGGCCAGGCGAGGACAGCCCAGGACCGTGGAGATGGTCGCTGCTACGGGCAGCCGCCCCAGGACAGAGCGCTCTGTGACGGCTGCTTTTCCATGTGAATGTGGGGGACCCGCCCTGATGCCGGACGGGAGGCTCCTGACAAACCCAGGTTCGTCCACTTTCCCTCCCAGAGCCAGGAGCACGGGCCACGGACGAGGGGGGCAGGCCAGCTTTCCTCCTCCAGCCGGCCTGGGGCTGAGCCCCCTGCCACCAGGGGCGGCGGACACTGTGCATGCCTCCACCGTGCAGAGAGGGGACCGCCCCCAGCAGCGCAGCAAGGAGGGGAAGGCGGGCAAAGGGGCTCTCGGCCTGCGGCTCCCCCCTGGCCTCCAGGAGGGAGAGAGCCAGCCTGCAGCCAGTGGGGAGGGGAGGAGGAGGGAAGGGGAGACAGAGGAGCCTTCTAGGTGGATGGAACGTCCTCTATCTCGATGGGGGGCAGGGTCTGGGTTCCACCATTGCCAGCACTCCTCAACCTCCACACACGTAACGTGCGTCCATGTCTCTCAAGAAAACAAATGGCCTGGGGTGTGGCTGAGGGTTGGCCCGTGAACATGACCCAGGGGGTCAAGGTTTGATTCCCGGTCAGGGCACATGCCCAGGGTGTGGGCTCAATCTCCGGGGAAGGGGGGGCGGTGTGTGCCGGAGGCAGCCTGTGCATGATTCTCACCATTGATGTTTCTCTGCCTCTCCCTTCCTCTCTCTGAAATCAATCTATATATATAAAAGGCTGTGTCTGTCCATCCAACTTGTAGCTGTGATATGCACTGACCACCAGGGGGCAGACACTCAGCGCAGGAGCTGCCATGACACACCCCGGCCATTGACAGAGAAATAGCAAGACAGACCACAAACCCCAAATGGGACACAGGCCCCACCCCCACCCCAGAGCAACACCCCACCAAATCGCAGCCTACACTACCAAGACCCCGTATCGCAAAATGAGGCCCACAGCCCAGCCCAGCCCTGAAACGGTGGCTGTGGGCACTGGGTAATGACGTCACCTAGCCCAGCTTCCTCTCCCTAGCAACCAGCCTGCTTGCAATTTCTTCAGCCCAGGAACACGACCTGCTTTACAGCCAGGTGGAAACATTTTACTTTAACCAAATGTCTGTGAAGCGTTTTCCCTGCCTCATCTCATTTGATCCTCACAGAAGTCCTGGAGTAGGAAGATAGGAGACTCGGTGGAATCCTATTTTCTTTTCATTAGCAAGACGAAAATAGGGATATTAAAATAGTTCTTCTAATTAATTTCCTTTCAATGTGCACAAATCTGTGCACCAGGACACTAGTCTATATATATATATATATATATATATATATATATATATATATATATATATATATATATATTTTTTTTTTTTTAATAATGCATGATTGAAAGGCTTCAACTTTTTTTAAAATATATTTTATTGATTTTTTTTTACAGAGAGGAAGAGAGAGGGATAGAGAGCTAGAAACATCGATGAGAGAGAATCATCGACCAGCTGCCTCCTACACACCCCCAACAGGGGATGTGCCCACAACCAAGGTACATGCCCTTAACCGGAATCGAACCTGGGACCCTTCAGTCTGCAGGCCGACACTCTATCCACTGAGCCACACCGGTTTCGGCCAAAAATATATATATAGTTAAAAATAAATATAATGCCAATGAATTGGGGGGAAAGCCGAAACAAGAGCCGGGCTCCTTTTGTACGGGGTTCGAGAGTAGCAGAATCTAATCCGCCACAACAGAGCTCAGAGTGGGGGGCTCGGGAGTGGGGGGCTCGGGAGTGGGGGATTACGGGGAGGCACAGTCAGCGTCTCTGGGGTGACCAGAGCATCTTGTTCTCGACTTGGGCGGTGGCCACATACGGTTCCGAGGGCTGGGCGCGATACCGGCAAGGCCCCACTTACTGGGCGTGCCTGGCCCAACGCCCGCGTCCTGGGTGGTAAGAAAATGCTTGAGCAAAGGGGTCACACAACTGTGTCCACGCGGGATGGGCGAGAGAGAGACTGCCTGCTTTCCCCTATACCGCGGCTGGGTTTTTGTGTGTGTGTGTGTGTGTGTGTGTGTGTGTGCGTTTTTAAATATATTTTATTGATTTTTCACAGAGAGGAAGGGAGAGGGATAGAGAGCTAGAAACATCGATGAGAGAGAAACATCGACCAGCTGCCTCCTGCACACCCCCCAGTGGGGATGTGCCCACAACCAAGGTACATGCCCCTGACTGGAATTGGACCTGGGACCCTTCAGTCCGCAGGCCGACGCTCTATCCACTGAGCCACACCGGTTCCGGCTGTTTCTTTAATGATATAGGGAACTAGGACACACTTCCTAAAGCACTCCTTTAATGGGGAACCTCTGGAAATAACCCGAATGCTCGACAACGGGTCCATTTAAAATGCGCGCTGTGGGCCCTAGCTTCCTGGGCTCCGGGTGGGCGCAGGGTGCGCCCCGCTGCCGGCTCGGACCCCAACACGGCACGGAGGCGCCGGCGGGGGCTCGGCCTCCAGGCGCCGCACGAAGGTCCAGCCGCTTCCCCGGGGGCAGATCCCCATCCTCAGGCCGAACCCCCCCTCCCCCCAGGGCCTCCAGGGGCGCACGAAGCGCGGACCGCGCCCCGGGGAAGCCCGCCGCCGGGCCCGGCCCAGCGCCGCACCCGCACCCCGGCCGCGCCCGGGGAAGCCCGGCGGCGCCGCATCCGAGCATCCTCACCCTCGCGGCCGCCCATTGGCCGGCGCCGGCGCTGCGGGCCGCCCCGCAGCCAATCGCGGGCGGGGGCGGGGCTGCGGGCTCGGCCGGATGCTCCAGCCGCTGCGGCCAGACCCGGCTTGGCTCGGGGTGACAGCGGCGCGGGCCATGCAGGAGCCGCTGCTGGGCGCCGAGGGCCCGGACTATGACACGTTCCCCAAGAAGCCGCCCCCGTCGCCCGGGGAGAGGACGCGGGTCGGGTGAGAGCTGCGGGGAAGGGGGCTGCGGCCGGGGCTGGTTTCCGCCGGGGGCCTCGGAGGGGCCAGGTGTCCCCAGGTGGTCCCACCTAGCGTGCTGGTGGCGCGTCTCCCCTCCCTCCCCGCCCTCCAGGCCCGGGCCCCGCACTGGCACAGACCGGGAGACAGGCCCAGAGAGGGCCCAGGGCCTGCCGAAGGTCACACAGCAAGCCTGGGGGGCAAAGCCGAGAGCAGACCCCGGCCGTGGCTCAGCCACAGCCACAGCCACGGCCACGGCCACGGCCACAGCCACAGCCACAGCCACGGCCACGGCCACGGGCCGCGGGGTCTTCCCGGGGAGCTGGCATCCAGACCCTGGAGGTGCCAGTCTGACGGGCCTGGACCAGCCCTCCTCAGCGCTGCCTCTACTTCGTCGGCACAGGCAGCGGTTGGGAAGGGGGGACTCAAAGCCCCACCCTCTCTGCCCCGCCTCCCCGCTGCCCCCAGCGCCCTGCAGAACAAGTGGGTGTTCCTGGCCACCTTCGCCGCCGTGCTGGGCAACTTCAGCTTCGGCTACGCCCTGGTCTACACGTCCCCCGTCATCCCGGCCCTGGAGCACTCCTCGGACCCAAGCCTCAGGCTCACCCAAACCCAGGCAACCTGGTTCGGGGTAAGCTCGTAGGGGTGGGGCAGGGGGTGGAGGGGCCCCCTGAGCTCTATCCCAGCAAGGGTCCCCCCCAACCCTCAGCCTTCGAACCCCTCCTTTGCCACACACTCCAGGCTGGGGGTGGGGGGAGGGAGGCCCGAGGTGCCTCTAAAATAAAAGGAGGAAGTGAAAGGCGATGGAGAAGGCGTGGGAAGGGCAGGTGGGAGGCGCCTGTAAGTCTCCACCCCGTGGGCTGAGGGTTCCCAGATCCCCGCCCCGCCCCCACCCCCACGGAGCTGGGCTGTCACAGGGCAGACAACATATTCCCTAAGACAGCATGCCCGCTGGGTACGGAGCCACCCAGTGCGTGCTGTGCTGGGCACTTGCCCCGAGAGCTTGCCCCCTGAGGTGGCTGCCATCCTTCTCCCATCCTGACGGAGCAGCGTACCCGCCTCCCTCCGGGGTCCTCCTCACTGTGCTGAGCGGGAATCCAGGATCCCCGAAACCTTAAAATCCCAGGGGCTCCGGATCCAGGCCCTCCCTTCTGCTCCAGCATCAGACACGGCCCCGCCAGGCTGGGCAGCCCCTCCCCGCGGGCAGGGTGGGGGGTGTCCCTGACGAACGGCCGTCCACGTGCTGCTTGCACACCTCGGCGAGGGAGCTCCCTGCCCTGAGGGCCTGGGCCCCGAGGGAGGGGGTGCGGGGCCCACCACGCCTCCCGCCTCCTCCCCAGTCCGTGTTCACCCTGGGCGCCGCGGCGGGCGGCCTCAGCGCCATGGTCCTCAACGACCTGCTGGGCCGGAAGCTGAGCATCATGTTCTCGGCGGTGCCCTCGGCGGCCGGCTACGCGCTCATGGCGGGCGCCCGCGCCTTCTGGATGCTGCTGCTGGGGAGGACGCTGACGGGCTTCGCCGGGGGGCTCACGGCCGCCTGCATCCCGGTAAGGCCGGCCGGCCAGGCCCCGCGGGGCCCCCAGGCACCGCCGGACCAGGGCGCCCCGGTCCCTGGGGGTGTTTGCAGCTCATTCAGGGGCCCCTGTCCCCGCGTCCCCAGCTCCCCCCCTCGGACTCCCTAAACTTCCTACCCAGTTTCCTGACAGTCGGACACGTTACTCAATCGGAGAAAATCCACGTTGAGCAACTGGGAGGAAAGGGAAGTCCCTGCCCAGGCCCTGCCCTGGCTAAAGTCTTACCCGCAGCTGCCCACATACCCACCGGGGCTGGGCCGGCCCGGCGGGGCGGGGTGGGGGTGCGGGGGGAGCAGAGACCAAGGCCTCGCACTCCCCGTGTCCGAGCTGAGTGCTCCTGCCCACCTGACAGCTAGGGAAACTGAGGCCCAAGGGAGGGCATGGGTGAGCCATGATCAGCACAAGAGACCCACCGGGAACCCACTCCCTCTTTGCAGGGATCACCAGGCGGGTCCTCACGCAGGCTGGGTGGGGTCGTCCTGCAGGTGTACCTGTCGGAGATCGCTCCCCCTGGCGTCCGCGGGGCCCTGGGGGCCACACCCCAGCTCATGGCCGTGTTCGGGTCGATGGCTCTCTACGCACTCGGTGAGACAAGCGCTCGGCACCTCCTTGTGCAGGAGGGGGGGGAGGGGGAGGGGAGGGATGTGCCCCCAAATGAGCAGCAGGCTGGGTGAGAGACACCACAGTGCCCCCCAGGCCGCTCCCTGCCCCTCTCTGGGCAGGGGCGGGTCTGGGCCAGCCGTCTCCATGGGGGATCCACACAGAAGGGGCATCAGGGCAGCTGGCTGAGGCGGGGAGGGTGAGGGGGTGCAGGCCAGGGCGCTTGCTTGCTCAGGCCACCCCTCCATCGCCCCGCTGTGGCCTTGAGACCCTCCGGGGCCCAGGGCGGGGGGCCAGGCCATCCCTGGGCCCCTCCTGACCCAGAGCACAGAGCCTGGGCTGAGGGGGCAGAACGCCCACCGGAGGCCGCTGGGACTGGCCTGGAGGGCGGTGAGGGTGCTCAGGGCCCAGGGGAGGGGCTCCTCGCCCAGCCCCACCCCGGCGCCCCCTCCTCCCCCCAGGCCTCCTGCTGCCATGGCGCTGGCTGGCCGTGGCCGGCGAGGGGCCCGTGGTCGTCATGGTCCTGCTGCTCAGCTTCATGCCCAACTCGCCGCGCTTCCTGCTGTCGCGCGGCCGGGACGCCGAGGCGCTGCGGGCGCTGGCCTGGCTGCGCGGGGCCCAGGCCGACATCCGCTGGGAGTTCCAGCAGATCCAGGACAACGTGCGGAGACAGGTGCGGGGCGGGGTGGCACCCCCACCCTCCTCTGGCACCACAGCCGTGTGGCCTTTGAGCATCACTGCTTTCCCGAAAACGGGGTTCCCGTGTTCCCCACTCCACCTGACCCGGCGCACACGGGACCCGGAGGGCCGGCCACGCAGACCTCTGCCCTGGCCCGCCGTGGCCCAGGAGCCAGGGCTCCGGGCAGGGGTCCCCCGGCCTGCCCCCGCCTGGGCTGTCCCCCCCCAGCTCCACGCAGTCCCGTTAGGTGGCACGGCTGGAGGGGCCGGCCCTGCCCCTGAGCAGCGCCTTGTGTCTCCAGAGCAGTCGCGTGTCCTGGGCCGAGATCCGGGCGCCCCACATGTACCGCCCCGTGGCCATCGCCGTGCTCATGCGCTTCCTGCAGCAGCTGACGGGCATCACGCCCTTGCTGGTCTACCTGCAGTCCATCTTCAGCAGTACCGCCGTCCTGCTGGTGAGCGAGCCGGAGCCCTGCCCCCACCTGGTGCCTACCGCCTCCACCGGCACCCGCCCGCCCCCACCAGGTGCCCGCCCGCCCACACCGGCACCCGCCCGCCCCCACCAGGTGCCCGCCCGCCCCCACCGGCGCCCGCCCGCCCCCACCAGGTGCCCGCCCGCACCCACCGGCGCCCGCCCCCCCACCGGCACCGCCCGCCCCACCCGGTGCCTGCCCGCACCCACCCTGTGCCTACCGCCTCCACCCAGCGCCCGCCCATCCCCCCCTGGCGCCCGCAGGGGCTGCAGGGGGGCTGCAGGTGGAGGCCTTCTGGGCTGGTAACGGATTCGGTGCACACCCCCGTTCTCAGAGTAACGTTTGCTCCCGGGTTTTAAAGAAAAGTGCCCCTTGCCCTAGCCCAGTGGTAGGCAAACTCATTAGTCAACAGAGCGGCGAGCCGAAGTTTGCCAACCACTGCCCTAGCGGAGGGAGCTGAGACCTGAGATGAGTGACAGCCTGGGCCCTGGCCGGGTGGGGCAGAGAAAGGCTGGCACACAGTGGGTGCTCAGCGGCTCGATGCTCCCAGGAGCTGGGCCATGGGTGGGGCCTGAGCACCCTGAGTGCCTTGGCGGGGGGGAAAGCAGGCAGGTCCTCACCCCGTGGCCTCCTCCCTGCAGCCCCCCCAGGATGACGCCGCCATTGTGGGTGCCGTGAGGCTCTTTGCGGTGATGATCGCGGCCCTCACCATGGACCGGGCCGGCCGCAAGGTCCTGCTCTTCGTCTCGGGTGAGGCCCCCCGCCCTGAGTGCGGTGCCGCTCAGCGTGGGAGCCGTGTGGCCGGCTCCAGGGGCGTGGGTGGGACCTGCCCTGGTGGCCCCTGCCTCCCACCCCGGGCACAGGGCCTGGCACGCACCAGCTGCCCCAGAGGTCCTCTGGGCTCCCGCGTGGGGTGGTGGACGTCCGAACACGGGGAGCTGCCAGTGTGGGAGACCAGTCCCCTGGGCCGTGGTGGCGCCGGACGAGATGGGGCCTCAGAGGGTCCTGGCCCCGAGGGCCATCTGTCCGTCCGCAGCCTCCATCATGTTTGTTGCCAACCTGACGCTGGGGCTGTACATCAGCTTCGTCCCCAAGCACGGGACCCACAACACCACCGCGGGCCTGGAGAGCGTGCCCGTGGGCGGCGCAGCACAGCCCCTGGCCACGCCCACCAGCCTCCTCACCCTGGTGCCCCTGCTGGCCACCATGCTCTTCATCACGGGTAGGTGTGGCCCGGGGCGGAGGGCTGTCCTGGGGGGGAGCGGGCGTGGCTGTGTCGTGGGCAGGGCACCGCTGTCCTGGTTGTCGGGCGGGCGGCTGGGAGGCCTCTCGGCAGCTGGGGGGTGGGGGGAAGAGGCTCCCCGCCTCCGTGGGGCTGAGCTGCCCTCCGGCCCCCCCACAGGCTACGCCATGGGCTGGGGGCCCATCACCTGGCTCCTCATGTCTGAGATCCTGCCGCTGCGGGCCCGCGGTGTGGCCTCGGGGCTCTGCGTGCTGGTCAGCTGGCTGACCGCCTTCGCCCTCACCGAGTCCTTCCTGCTGGTGGTGGTGAGTGCCGGGCGCGGCCGGGGCCTCTCCGCCCGCCCTCCACGCTGCAGCCCACGCGGGAGGGACCGCCAAGGGACAGGACGGAGGACCGCGGGCGGGAGCGGTTCTGGGAAGTCAGCTGACCTCCGCCCGGAAGCCACACCTGCCCACTGTCATCCTCCAAGGCCGCTGGGTCTCAGCCATGTGCCCCCTGGGCAGCCACACACAGCATCCTGCCTGCCACACACAGGCACCCACCTGGCTTATCCCCCCCACATGGTTCCCAGGATGCCAGGCCCTGGTGCCAGGGGCATCTGAGCCCCATCGCCTGGGCAGAGTCTGAGGGGGCACTCTGGCAGTGCTACCCGGGGCCAGGCAGGGCTGGGTCCAGATGGGAGAGACGGCTGGGAGGCGGGTATGCCAGCTCTGGCAGAGGCAAAGATGGGCATGGGGCAGGGAGAGAGGCGCACGCTCCCCGGCTATGGTGCAGCTTCCTGCAGGCAGGCGCCTGAGCTGCAGAGAGAGTAAGAGCGGCACTGGGTGGGGAGGGGCTACCTGGCGAGGCGGAGACCAGAGGGCCGGCAGGGCAGGCTGAGGGAGCCCCGGGCAGGAAGGACACCCCAGGCCCGCACAGAGGAAGGCTGGGTGCAGGCCTCTGGGCCCTCCACTGCCCCCTAAGGCCCTAGAGTAAGGTGACCAGGTGTCCCGATTTTTAACAATTTGTCCCGCATGGACTTTTTTAAAATGCTGCGGGATGTGGGACAAATTGTTAAAAATCGGGACATCTGGTCACCTTACCCTAGAGCTCAGGCTGCGGGCAGGGGGGAGCCCCAGATCTCTGAGCAAAGAGCGGGTGCAGGCCCCCACGGTGGCGAGGGAGCGCTGGCTAGCAGGGAGCTCATGCGGGGGTGGAGGGCCTCGGGCCCGTGCGACCACCCCTCTCCGCCCCTCTCTGCCCCAGGACGCCTTCAGCCTGCAGGTGCCCTTCTTCTTCTTCGCCGCCATCTGCCTGCTGAACCTGGTGTTCACGGGCTGCTGCGTGCCCGAGACCAAGGGCCGCTCGCTGGAGCACATCGAGTCCTTCTTCCGGACGGGGAGGAGGTCCTTCCTGCAGTAGTCGGCCCCGCCGGGGAGGGCCGCACGCTGGCGGCCAGCCTTCCTGTGGGCCGCCCACCTCAACCCCGAGTCCAGGAGGCGGCGGCAACCTGCCACCAGCCAGCCAGCACCGCCGGCAGCACCGACCCGCAGCCAGCAGCACGGCCGCCCTCGGCCAGCACAGGCAGCGTGGCCGCCCCCACGCCGGCCAGGACCTGCCAGCAGAGGAGGCAGCTGTGCCCCGCAGGGGAGCACGCACCCAGGGAGCACCCGTCCAGGCAGGGAGCACCAGTCTGGGCCTGGGGCCTCGGGCCACACTGGGCGACCTCAGGCAGAGTTACTTACTCACGGAGGCCGGTGAGGACAGGCAGCTGGAGGCAGAGGAATGGCTCCAAGCACCTGGCTGCCACCCAGCACCTCGGCCTGGGGAGGAAGGCGGGAACCTGCACCCGAGGGCTGGGCACACCCTGGGCAACGCAGCAGACTCCCGCAAGCCAGGGATCGGATCCAGCACACACACTAACCCGCACGTCCCGACGCCCTGAACCGAGGGTGGGGAGTGCTCCTGTCTGCAAACCGTGCACCATCTTATAACAATAAAGAAACTGGACTGTGACCCTGAGCCGAAGGAGCTCTGGTGGGGGTTAGACCACATTTCAGCCAGGGCCTGGGGGGCCCATGGCCACCCCCCCGTCCACAGGGAGGCAGAGGTGCGGGGCTGGCCCTGCCGCCAGCCTCCCACGCTTCCAGCCGTGGGGCTCGGGCGAGCAGCTGGAGGCACAGCCGGTCCAGTTGGGATAAAGGGCAGCTGTTCCCGGGTCAGAGCACCCTGTGTCCAGGCATCCCTCCCACTCAGTCAAGGCAGAGCCGAGCATACGAACCACCACAGGCTTTATTGCTCCAAAGTCAAGGTAAACAGAGAAAGCAAAGGCCAGAAGGCAGATCCAGCCCCGGGAGGCGCGCGTGGGCCCTGTGGCGGCCCTTCTCGCTGCACAGACTCCTGCAGGCAGGACTCTCCGGGACACAGGCCACCGGCTCCCGGACTGCTCGCCACTCGCTGGGAACCTGGGGCGAGTGCCCGCTGCTCTGGCCTTTTTGACGGAGGGGCAGAGGCCCTGCCCCATCTCCCAACCCCCCAGCCCGCCAGCACCCGCCCGATCCCCGCAGGGCACAGGTCAGGCTCCCTTCCACACGCAGCCCGGGGGCGAGCTCCCTGTGCCGACAGGAAGCTGCAGGAGTGACACACCCCCTTCCTGGATCAGGAGCCGCTGCTCCTCCTGGGAGGTAGACAGGTCTTATTCACGGCACACGTGGAGCGAGCACACACACACACACACACACACACACACACACACACACCAGCCTGGAGGCCTGGGGCCCAGCCCCGGCCTGAGGGTGGCCCAGAGGAGCCTGAAGGCATGTGTCCTCCACACTGGCCTGCAGGGCGCTGGGCTCAGCCCCTCGGGCTGCTGGGGACGCTGCTGACCGGCCCACGGGCATGTCCCCAGGCAGGACTGCCACACCCTGAAAGGCCCCCTGGGAAGCCAAGAGCCGGGCACCATCCTGGGCTGGGAGCTCAGAACAGGCCCGGCCTGGGCCCTGGAGGAGCAGCAGCAGGAGCTGGGCCCCAGACGGAGCATTCCCCACACCTGCCCACTCTGCCGGAGTGGCCAGGCCCCGGCAGACATGCCCAATAGCTGAAAGCCAGCGGGCAGAGCGGCCAGGGGGCTAGACCACGGGCACAGGAGGGTTTGGGTGTGGAAGGAGCCTGCAGGAGACCAGGGCACAGGTCCCAAAAGAGCCACTCTGGGGCTCCAGCTCTCCACCTGCCCAGGCCTTGCCCCCTGGCGGGCTGGCACCCGGGGCAGTGGGGACAGCCATCTGCCCAGCTCTCACAAGGCTTGGGCAGGCCGGCAGGGATACCAAGGTGGGGCAAGCTCAGGCCTGCACACAAGGCAGGAGCCCACTTCTTAGCACCGGGGGATGGGGAGGGGAGGCCGTGGGCTCAGCCAGGCCGTGGGCTACACCCTGGAGCAGTCTGTCCGAGGCCAAGGGAACTGGGGAGGCACCAGTCCCACCAGTTGTCCGGCTGCTGCTGAGGCTGCTGTTCCCGTGAGCCAGGAGCACCGTGGCCGGGCCATGGGCAGCAGCAGACAGCCCTCCGCCACTGCTCTGCCCTGAAGGCCGGGGGACAGAGGGGCCCAGCCCCCCGGAGGCCCTGCCTGGGGAGCAGAGGAGGCTCACTCGGCTGCTGGAGACAGGACCAGGGCTCCTCCAGGCTTCCCGGTCCCCATGGTTCTGCCGGCGGAAGCCGTCCGCCTGAGGCCTGTTTCCAGCCACACCAGGCCACCGTGGGGCCAGGAGGCCTGGTGGTGCAGAGCCCAAGTCCTATGGCCTGGCTCACCAAGGCTGGCCGTCCCATGTCCTTGCTGCTTGTCAAGGCCACAGAGCCCTGGCCCTCGCATCAGCTCAGGGCCAGGAGACGGCAAACTGGGAAGAGGGGCAGGCAGGGCTCCAGTGTGGGGACAGGTGCAGAGAAGCTGATGGGAGCTTGGTAAAGGCTCCTCCTCCAGCTGTCCCCCGGGGTCAATGCCTCCTCCTCCGGGCTGTCCCCCAGGGTCAATGCCTCCTCCTCCAGGCTGTCCCCGGGGTCAATGCCTCCTCCTCCAGGCTGTCCCCCGGGTCAATGCCTCCTCCTCCAGGCTGTCCCCGGGGTCAATGCCTCCTCCTCCAGGCTGTCCCCAGGGTCAATGCCTCCTCCTCCAGGCTGTCCCCGGGGTCAATGCCTCCTCCTCCAGGCTGTCCCCGGGGTCAATGCCTCCTCCTCCAGGCCGTCCCCCGCGTCAATGCCTCCTCCTCCAGGCTGTCCCCCGGGGTCAATGCCTCCTCCTCCAGGCTGTCCCCGGGGTCAATGCTTCAGGGCCCGTCCTCTTGAACTTGCTCACGCAGAACCTGAGGAGCGAGAGGGTGGGGAGGTCCCCGGGACCGCGTCACAGCTCCCCCTCCAGGGTCTCTGTGAGCTTCTCCTCGTCAGCCTGCTGCTTCTGCTGCTGAATCCGGGCGTAGGAAATGGCGTCACCCCTGGGGAGACAGCAAGGCAGGATCACAGCGGGAACAGGCCCCAGGCACACCCTCCCGGCCAGGAACCCCACGGTGACTGCAGGCACAGCCTCCTGGTTTCGGGAGCATGGTGCTGATGGCAGACGTGTCCTGTCACCCCTATCAGGGGTGCAGGCTGCCCGGATGCCAGGGGGGATGGCACCTGCCATGGAGCCGGGGGGCCTGCATGGGGAGGCTCTCACGAGCCCTGTCCACCATCCCGGCCACAGGCGGACCCTCAGGAGGCCTCACGGACCCTGATCATTCCCTGGAACTGCACACCCTGGAGATGCTGGCGGCTCACTGACCACCTCTGTGCCTCCGTTTCCACAACTGGACACCAGGGCCACTGCCAGTCCCTCCTCCCTGAGGCTTGGGGGGGAGGGGAGAGAACCCCCCCCCCCCCCCCCCGCCCTGGGCAGGCTGGGACGGGCGGACGCACTTTTTGCCCAGGGCCGAGAGTCCATACAGCACGCCGGTAGCGAAGGCGACAGCATTGCCCAGCAGAGTGGTCAGGGTCAGGCTGATGATGATGGGGACGACGGCCATCCTGAGGGAGAGGCAGAGGTCACAGAGGTCACGGGACACGCCACCACCTCCAGGCTCCCCCGTCCACCCAGCTCCTCCCTGACCACCAGGTACAGGGGGCCCCCAGAGGTCAGATGGGAGGGAGGCTCACACTGGCCTCCTAAGTCCTCCATCTGCCCAATTCTGGGTATCGCCATCGGATTCCTCAAAGGTCTGGGACCCCAAAAGGCTCAACAGCACTGAGATGGCCCACCCCTCCCGTCCATACAAACAGCTCTGTGCCTGTGGGCTCTGTGCCTGTGGCTCTGTGCCTGTGGGCTCCTCTGTGCCTGTGGGCTCCTCTGTGCCTGTGGGCTCTGTGCCTGTGGGCAGCCTGCTTCACCTGAGGCTCCATCTCTCGGTGGGGTGGGGGTCAAACCTCAGAGGCTTAGTGACTGAGCGAGGCGGCCGGGCATGTGCGGAGCTCCCCGCCGCCTGGGACAGCAGCTCTCAGGAAATGCGGGCTCCCCCGGCACAGGACGCCTGCACAGGCAACAAGGCCGAGCCCCGGTGGAAATCCACGAGGCCTGGGCCTCGCTGCCAGTGCCGGGTGCGGTCAGGCAGCACCGGCTCTGTCCTCCCTGGTCCTGACTACAGCTTGGCGCCACCTGGCGGCAGGTGTCCCCTTGGGCTTAAGTATCCGCGGGGCTGACCCCGGATGGTGGGGCTGAGATTGTTGGGGACTTGGATCAGCGGGCCGTCCTGCCACTTCCTGGACGAGCTGCCCACGCTCCCATCCCGCACCCCGGCTCCGCCCGCTGCAGGGAAAGCACAGAGGAGACACGGTTTGAACTGCACAGGCCCACACGTGCGCAGCCTTCTCCAATAAATGTGCGAGTGCTGAAAGTGCATTTAAACACGTTTTATTTCTTCCTATGACTTTTAACATTTTATTAACCTCAGAGAGGAAGGGAGAGGGAGGGAGATAGAAATACCAATGATGAGAGAGAATCATGGACCAGCTGCCTCCTGCCCGCCCCCCGCTGGGGATGGAGCCTGCAACCCGGGCCTGTGTCCTGACCAGGAATCGAACCGTGACCTCCTGGTTCATGGGCCAATGCTCAACCACTGAGCAACACCGGCCGGGCATCTTTCTTAGGACTGTAATGTTTCTCTTCTCTAGCCTACCTTATTGTGAGAATATAGTATATGGTGCCTGTAAGATTCAAAATGTGTGTCAACCCACTGTTTATGCTGCCAATGAGGCTTCTTTTAGTCAGCAGCAGACTGTAACACTTCTGTATTCAGGGAGCCAAAGGCTATAGAGGGGGTTTGACTGCATGGGGTTGGCACCCTAACCCCCGCGTTCTTCAGGGGCCAGGTGTAGTTACAAAACCTAAGTGATAAAGGAACAACAGAAACTACAAGAGAAAGACCACCGGGGGAAATCTGTCGAAATAAAATTAAAGGCAAACAACAGACTAGGCAAACACTGGCAGGTAATCTGGCAAAGGATTGAGGAAGTTTAATACAGAGACACACAGGACCTACTAAGGGGAACACCGAGATGCCAACAGCCAAGAGTACAGTGGACCCTCGCAGCCGTGGAAACCCTTCGCCTCAGAGGACAGACACCACGTGGGGACGGTGCAGGAGCCATCACCCTCCTCTGGGCAAAGCAGCCCAGGCCCCCGAGACCTTCTACCCAAGCACAGCCCGACCCAGGAACCCCACACCTGGGCATGCGTCCTGAGGCCATCACCTTCAGCACAGGAAGTTTTGGCGAAGGTCAAAGGTCGATTTAGACCACGTTCACAGAAGCAGGAGCGCATGCCCAGCTGAGGAACAATCCTGTAGGTAAAGGTGACCTGGGGGAGCCTGTGGTGACTCTGCGGACGTTTATGTCGTCGTGTTTAACTCTAAAAGCACAGGAACAGGTTTGCTCCTAACGCTGTCGCTGTACCAGCAGGTTTATCGCACCGTCTGAAGGCACAGACACACGTCACCATGGCCACA